ACCTAATTTTAAAGTTCTGTAATGATTTTGGCAATACACCGTTTTCATTTCTTTTATAAACTGTATTCATAGGTACTACCTTGTTGACAAGAAGGTCCACCCCAGCCTCTCAAACAACCACTATAGCAAAGACCAGTTACAGCATCACAGCTTTTATTATTGTGACAATGACAGGTATAACTATTTCTATATCCAAAATTATAACCTGTAAATATAACATTATAACATTCATTATAACAAACACTAGTTACAGTATCACATCATTCATTATATAAACAATGACAGGTATAACTATTTCTATGTCCAAAATTATAACCTGTAAATATAACATTATAACATTCGTTACAACAAACACTAGTTACAGTATCACATCATTCATTATATAAACAATGACAGGTATAACTATTTCTATGTCCAAAATTATAACCTGTAAATATAACATTATAACATTCGTTACAACAAACACTAGTTACAGTATCACATCATTCATTATATAAACAATGACAGGTATAACTATTTCTATGTCCAAAATTATAACCTGTAAATATAACATTATAACATTCGTTACAACAAACACTAGTTACAGTATCACATCATTCATTATATAAACAATGACAGGTATAACTATTGTTATATCCAAAATTATAACCTGTAAATATAACATTATAACATTCGTTACAACAAACACTAGTTACAGTATCACATCTTTCATTATATAAACAATGACAGGTATAACTATTTCTATGTCCAAAATTATAACCTGTAAATATAACATTATAACATTCGTTACAACAAACACTAGTTACAGTATCACATCATTCATTATATAAACAATGACAGGTATAACTATTGTTATATCCAAAATTATAACCTGTAAATATAACATTATAACATTCGTTACAACAAACACTAGTTACAGTATCACATCTTTCATTATATAAACAATGACAGGTATAACTATTTCTATGTCCAAAATTATAACCTGTAAATATAACATTATAACATTCGTTACAACAAACACTAGTTACAGTATCACATCATTCATTATATAAACAATGACAGGTATAACTATTGTTATATCCAAAATTATAACCTGTAAATATAACATTATAACATTCGTTACAACAAACACTAGTTACAGTATCACATCTTTCATTATATAAACAATGACAGGTATAACTATTTCTATGTCCAAAATTATAACCTGTAAATATAACATTATAATATTCATTACAACAAACACTAGTTACATCATCACATCTTTCATTATCTAAACAATGACAGGTATAACTATTTCTATATCCAAAATTATAACCTGAAAATATAACAATATAATATTCATTATATCAAACACTAGTTACAGTATCACATCATTCATTATATAAACAATGACAGGTATAACTATTGTTATATCCAAAATTATAACCTGTAAATATAACATTATAACATTCGTTACAACAAACACTAGTTACAGTATCACATCTTTCATTATATAAACAATGACAGGTATAACTATTTCTATATCCAAAATTATAACCTGTAAATATAACATTATAACATTCGTTACAACAAACACTAGTTACATCATCACATCTTTCATTATATAAACAATGACAGGTATAACTATTTCTATATCCAAAATTATAACCTGAAAATATAACATTATAATATTCGTTATAACAAACACTAGTTACAGTATCACATCTTTCATTATATAAACAATGACAGGTATAACTATTTCTATATCCAAAATTATAACCTGTAAA